CCCCTACATCTGCGTACGTTACGGGGCGCACGAGGACGACGGTCGCTTACCGAAAGAACGGGTAAATCATCTCTTTCGCTTTCATTATGAAAGACCCCCCGAAAAGAAGAAATGAAAGCAGGACATAGTCGGCCAGAAACCTGTAATGGAGGGAGATACTCATTTTCTATGGCCGCGCTTGGCGAGAGCAGTCAACCAGGCGAAGTCGAAATGTGTTTTTCTGTTATCGTTTTTGGGCAGATTGGCCAATTTTTGCCACGGCGAATTCCAGCCTTACAACAAGTCTTTCGGCAACCCCAACGGTCAGGGGCGGGTACGTAGCCCGGGGACTTGGACGCACGACTCGAGCAAGGGCATTCCCCCTCCCATCCAATGGGTGTCTGTACTCCAAATGTATGCGCCAGCGAAGGGGTTGGGGGAGGTGGGGGAGGTAAAAGTGGCGGGGAAGAGTCAACTTTTATCATTTATTGTTAGGGCGCTGATGCAATAGCCTGGTATGTTGCAGTTGCAGATTGAGCCAGTATGGTTGTCAAAAATCGGGTTAATCGGTCAAGCGACAATTGCAAACTACAATTATTGTCCTCATTTGTATTGTGAGAGTATGAATATAGCCCATCTGTACCCAGTAGCGGCGCGCCTTTACTTTGTCAGACAATCATCAGCCTGAGCCTTATCAGACGAGGGCCGACCTTTCGCGATATGGAATTGAAGGGAGGGGAGGGAGGGAGGGGGTGCGATGCGACCGCACTCCTCCCGCAGCACTTCGCATCCACACATTCGCAAATAATAACTTTCCGCATCAGATTCGCATCCGGTTGCGTCCGACCCGGCTCGTCTGGACTTATCAGAATATCGGTGGCAGATGCATCTCCCGGGCTCTTGGCCGGGCCGTCTGGCTGGACGAACCTCCTCCCCGCCGTCGCCGCCCCACCTGGGGCCCCATCACCATCGGGCCCCACCACCTCACTCACCCCGCCCCCCGTCTCGACAAAAGCCCCACCGGGATCCCATTCATAAAGGCCCGTGGGGAAGACAATTGCTGAAGGGATGGGGCGAGGACACACTCACACACACACGTGCGTGCGCCCGGTGCTGGTGTGGGCGGAGGACACGCAAAACTGGGCCGAGCGGTCACACACACACACACACATACACAAAGCATTTCGCGAGTATAAAGGCACACGACAGGGACGCCGTGCGATTTGCTCCTCTCGATTTTTCTATTATTGACATCATTCTTCATCCGCAGCATTCCGGAGAGGCCGTGCTGGAGTGGGAGAAGAGGAGGAGGGGGGATGGGTGGGGGGGAGGTGTGAGTGTGAGGGCGGGCTGGGGGTGAGGGCGGGGACCCATGCGCTGGGGTTGGGGCACCCTCTGCTCGTGTGTTGGGCAGCGGGGCGGGGCGGGGCCGGGGGCGCCGGCGCGGTGGAAGAAGAATGCATCGTGAATAGGAGCGTTTGAAATCTGTAATTCCCTGTGTGACTGGCGGCCGACCCGGCGGCGCGCTGCCGCTTGCCCTTTTGCGGCGCGTCGGCGGCGGCGAAAAACTGCTGAAAACGCGCGCGCATCTGCAATATAAATCGATCGCTCGAGGGGGCGAGACGGCGCCGACGGGGCCCCTTGTGTGTTTGTGCTTCCCGCTGCGATGAGCGCTTGTGCAAGGGGTGCGGGCGGGGTATAGGGACTGCACCGCGCGCTTTCTCTGGACACAGAGCCGTGCCGCACTGCTCTGCTCCAGATATGGAGCGCCCCGGGGCGGGGGCGGGGCGAGCCGTGGCGGAGGGGCACTATGCTTAGCGCGCCCGCGGCCCGCCGGCTGCACTGGACGGACGGGACGGGCACCCGGCGACAGGCACCCCTCCTGCGGGCCGTCGCGGGACACGTGGGGCACGCGTGGAGGTGGAGGCGGGGCGAGCTCTGTTCGCTTTCATCTGTCGCTGCTGCTGCTGCTGGATGGGGGCTGTGTTTAGGGTTTCAGTGATTTGACTATTCACACACGCACACAGAGGCGTCGAATCGCATGCTGAGCAGAGAAATTCGATACAAAACTGAACGGGATGCATAGAAAATCGCGCTCCGCGCTCCTCTTGCTTCCTCCGTCGAAAAAGATGAGAGGAAGTAGAGGGGGAGGAGGAGGAGGAGGAGGAAGCAGCGGTCAGCACGGCACCTTTTGTCCCCTTCCCCCCTTCCCTTTAGTCCATCTCCTCTGCCTCTTCTCCTCTTTCGCCCCCCGTTTTCTGCCGCCTTTCTCCGCATACCCCCCTTGTCATCCCGCCCCCTCCCCGCGCTCCCGTTTCTTTCCTTCACCAGCAAGCAGACTCCATTTACGGGGGTGCGTGCCTGGGCCTGGCTGCTGGCTGCGCTGGCGTGTCCTGCCCCGCCCTACACCTTACCGCGCCCCGCCCCGCC